AATTCATTTGTCAACTGATCAATTCGTTTTTGGAAACTGTTTTTTGTTGAAAGAAAAAATAAAATATTCATGCAATATGGTATTGTCTAACGTGTATAATTTTCAACAAAATCAAATGCATATTTTACATATGCACATCAAACACATGTGTAAAGTTTGATTTACTTACAACCATGTGTTTAACATATGAATTTAAATAAAAAATCAAATCAAACTCGTAATCTCAAGTTAAGGATAAAATATCATTGAAATAAATTCTAAATATATTTATAATTAGGAAAAAGAAGGAGGTGGGGGATGAAGAGGATGGGGGGGGGGTGGTTCAAGAGTGAACAAGAAAAATCAATGATGTTTTTGATAAGATAATGGAATTTCTACGATCGTAATCTGATTTCTCAGAAACATGTTGTTCTCGGACAATTTACTGAGATTTCGATTTAGGTATGGGTAGGTATATGGGTATGGGTATGGGTATCAGATCATCAGCACTTGCAAAAGATTCGTCTCTGTTATTCCCCCCAGCCCCTCTGTGTAGAAAATCGTCGAGGGTGAAATCTACGCTGTTACGAAGGGATGATACTACATCTACTAGGTCCTATAAATTGGATATTAATATTTCATAAAGTTCGGGACACTATTTACGGAGAGGGTGAAAATAGTTGGATTGAACTGACACGAATAAAAGAACATGATCATTTTCGTGACACTCTGTACATATTGTTCTTTGATTAACAAATATTAGGTCGAGTTATAAGTAACTTCCGATGTGACTTATGTAGAATTTATTTTTCATATTGGTGTGTTCCAAAAGTATCCGACCTACCTCCATATTTCACTCTCCCGAAGTTACTTTTCGTCGTATGGTTTATGACATCCTTTAAAGTAGTCCCCATTTGATGGAATAACACGCTCCCAATGCCCTTTTCACTTTTCAAAGCAATCCTAATACTCGTTTTTCGGTATCGGCCTTTGAAGCATTCGTCGCATTAGTTTCAATCGTTTGCACATCGTTAAATCGGTTTCCTTTAAGGGACATTTTCAATTTTGGAAATAGCCAAAAGTCGCAGGGAAGCTGTGTTGGGATTGTATGGAGGCTGACGAGGTTTACTTAAAAATATTGTTGCAGGAGGTTCGATGCATGTACTTGCTGGCGCATTATTGCAAATTTGCTAATGTGCTAAATCTTCAGTTACAATCCTTCAAATGATACTTTTCGCTATTCCAAGGTCATTTTTTAGTTCTTGTACAGTTAATCGACGATCTTCATTGATTACAAAAAAAAAAAAAAAAGAAAACAAACTTTCATGAAAAGTGTTCCTGCATTTATTAGTAATAGAAACACCATAAAAAGCGGAAGTTATTTATGACTCGACTGAATATTTTGATAAATCCTTGTCCAACGCACGATTATAATTTTTCAATCATTTATTGAATATTATTAATGATTACATTTTTAATCGAATTATTTTGATCTTACATACAAATGTAATGTTATATTATTTATTTATTTACTTTTTTTTTTTTAATTATTATTATTATTTTACATTAATTGTCATAAATATATATATCGTACAAGGGATCCATTTGTCTTTATCTTTGTTCGAATATTTAATTATATTTCATATTTATAATTGTTTATTTATTTTCGTTCAATTATGTATTACAAATGAAAATAATTTATTTGGTAGATTTTTTTTTTGTCGGGTGGTAGGTGGGGTAGGGGATTTGTCTCATGTTTTGTACGAATGAAGAATTTGTTGATTATGGTTAATTAATTATTGTAATAAAATGACTATTATAGAACAAGGTTATCTATTATCTATAGAAAACATAATGGATTTTAATGGTTTAATGTTCATTAATGGTATAATGTTGATCTTTAAAAGAAATTATATTCAATTGTTAGTCATCGTATGTTGCAATTTTGTATTTTGAAACTTCGATTATTTATTTAATGATGATACTTTAAAAAAAAAAAATATATGTAATTCTATTGCTTATGAATAATCTATTTGAAATAAAAGAAAAGAATAAAAAAGAAATCAAGAGTGTACAATTTGGAAATGAAATTTTCCTAATGAAAAGAAAATAATGTGTGTGACGTGTGTATTTTATGGAAAATATTATAATTTTCACTTTTATGGGATAATAACAATTATAATTTGTTGTGGTTTTTTTTTTTTCTAGAATAATTGAACTAATCGTCTAAACTAATTTTCTTCAGAATATATATATATATATATACACACACACAGACAGACAGACACTCTACTTTCTCTATCCATTTGGAATCATTCAGTGGAAATTGAACACATTTGAGGACCATTCGAGTTTCATTTGTGTTCGATACTGTTAAATGATTTTTTTTTTCAAAAGAGAAACCCCCTAAACTCAAACTTACCCTTCGTTCTTTTTCTTTTTTTTTTCCTATTTTCATGTAAAAATTCTAAATAATTTCTGTACGTTTGTACAATTGTATTTGTAAAACATTAACTATTTTGTTTTTCATCATCTTTTTCAATTGATTTTTGTTTTAAAAAGAAAAGAAAAAAAAGAAAATCAAATTTGGATTATAAATTTATGCCAATTAATGTTGACCGTAAAATTAATAATAATAATAAAAATAACTGATACACACACACATATATATTTATTTATATAATAATATATAAATATATATATATATATTTTTTTAAAAATATGCAAATAATCGGAAAAATTTACGGAACGCGAGCTTTTACATTTTTTCAATTTTGCTCAAATGAAAAATGTTTCTTCGAAATCAAATTTGGTATTCTGAAAAAAAGTTTCACGCCAATTTGCAAATAATATATTGGAATAGAATCGTTTTTAAATACGTAATTGTTTGTATAAAAAAAGAATTTGATAAAAATTAAATTAAGTATTTAAAATAAAAACAAGTTCAAGTTTCTCTCAATGGAATAATCACAAATTCCATTATCGAAAATTGAAATTGAAATCAAACGAATATCCCAAATATGTTTATTTGTCGATGATATTTTTTTACAGAATATGTAACCTAATTCGAAAGGCTCGATACTATCCCTTAATTTTAGATTCTTGCATCAACTATGACAAAAAAAAAAAAAATAGGTTTAAATATTTGTCTTCTTTGTTCAAAATTAAAAATTGTCTAATTTGTCAACTTTATGCAATTGTAAAATTATAAAATACGAGATGATGTTTACAGTAAAGATAAATTGAAAAATGATCTATCAAATGGAAAAAATCGAATTGGGGGGGGGGATATATTTTGGGTTGAAAATAAAGTTCGTAGGAGGGTTGTTTTCTCAATCGTCAGTTTGGTCGAAAAACTTCTACGAAATTTTATTTGGAATTTTCTATCAGGTCCAAATATGTTTAAATTTTGTTTACAGAATTTGTCAACCTAATTCGAAAGGCTCGATAATATCCCTTTAATTTTAGATTCTTCCATCAACTATAACAAAAAAACAAAAATATATATATACATTTAAATATTTGTTATCTTTTTTCCAAATCCATTTTGTTGAATAAAATTCAAAATTACAAATTGTCCAACTAAGTCAACTTTATGCAATTGTAAAATTACAAAATACGCTATCTCACATTTAAAATAAAGATAAATAATTTGAAAAATAATCTATTTATCAAATGGAACAAAAATCGAATTGTGAGGGGGATTTATTTTGGGTTGAAAACAAAGTTCGTAGGAGGGTTGTCTTGTTTTCCCAATCGTCGGGCGGTTTGGTCGGAAAACTTCTACGAAATTTTATTTCGACTACTTCTATCAGGTACAATTATATACATATGTATATGTTTTAATAATTATTAATAAATAAATATGTATATAGTGAAACAACTTATAGAAAGATTTTCATATAAGTATTAGTTAGTTATATATATATACATTTATTATTTCAATTTTCATCTTTCTACGATTGTTGTTGTTGGTTGTTTTTCTTTTCTATTCAAAATTTCTACTTAAAAATTGTTTACAATTTAAAAGCTAACAAATGAGCATTACTTACAAATGTTAATTTTTTTCTTTTTTTTCTGTTTTTTTTTTTTTTTTTCTTATTGGTCGCAACTAATATTTAATTATATAAACATTATTTTACATATATTTATCAAGGACATATAGATAAATATATGTATACATATACATATACATATACATATATTTGCGCATATATACATAGAGTTCTTGTAAATAAAATTAATAATTTAATATTATTATTATTATTATTATTATTCACATTGTTTTTTTTTTTTTTTTAAATAATTTTGTTATTCAACCCTTTCGTTAATAATAACAACAACGACAACGACGACACCCATAATATTTTTTGCTCTTTCCATGAACGAATTTTTTCTATAGAAATTTTTCTTCTCCAATTAATTGAATAACTAAAAGGGTTAAGAACAAAATACAATAAGAATTTGAAAAGCAAAAAAAAAAAATCATTCGATTTATTTCAATGATTTTGTTTTTGTTTTTTTTTTTTTTTTTTAATAAATTATGGAAAATATCTAATTACTTTAAAAAAAAAACGTTCTCCAATTGAATTTCATAAAATTTATTCTCTAAGTGTAATGAGACGTCAATTAAATAAATAACAATGATGTGTGCGTGTGTATGTGTGTGTGTGTATGTATAGTGTAAAATGTACGATTTCTTATTTACTAATATATTACAAATAATATAACCCGTTGATGTCATTTATTCGATATAAGGGTGGAATGATCGGATTGCTTGGCCCCCCTAATTCAAAAACAGAAGAACGAATGTTTGAATTATTTTCTAATAATATGACAAAGTTGATCATACTAAGTAATATGTTTAGAAAAAAAAAAAAGAAAAAAGAATAAAACAACAACGCGAGTATGAGTTTATCAGCTCACAGGCGAGGGCGGGGGGGATGCATGTAAATAAAGGGTTAAGAAAAAGAAAGAAAGAAAGAAAGAAAGAAAGAAAGAAGAAGAAAAAAAAAATCAATTCATCGATAAGTAAGTAATTGTGTTGAACTAGACGTAACGAGATGATTTTGATGTTTTTGAGTTGAAGTACAATCGCAATCATTGGATGCATCGGAATCGACTGGACTTAATTTAGATAAAATCGGCGTTCTGTAAGGACTACCTGTTAAGCCTGTGGTTAAATCGTTGACGGAATTAGGCGAAGTCGTAGTTGGTCTAAGAAGACTTGATTCGGCACTAATCACCGGTGGTGTCCTATAGGTGGTAGTTGGGTCGATTGGATTAGTCGATGGTGCGCCGTTTTGAAAGGCGGTACTACCGACACTAGGAACGCCCAGTGGGCCCAAGTGAAGGGGCGGTAAGAGTGAGTGGTGGGGAGATATTAAATGTGAGTGAGCAGTTGGATAGGAACCCGCAGTCCGTGGCTGTGGCCTGTGGAGGGAGGTTGTCGTTGTGGTGGGGGGACAAACTGAACTTGGATAAGGGGAGTAACGTGCTGCGTAATACGCCGCTGCCGCTGCTGCCGGATAGTGGGATGTTAAATGCGTCGTTCCATATGCTGACGGTGGTGGTGGTGGTAAAGTTCCTGTAGCTGCAGCAAATAAGGTTGCCGCTATTGCCGGATCATACATGGCGTATGGCCATGCCATTGCTATACGTTGACGTTTGTCTTTCATCCGACGATTTTGGAACCACACCTGAAATCATAATAACAAACAAAATATATTCATTAACAATTGATACCTTTCTTTCTTTCTTTCTTTCTTTCTTCCATCCTTCTTTTAATTCTTTTTCAATGAACGTCGTCGAGTCAAAAGCAGCGACGAACATTTTCGTCATTTAGCACCTCGATCATTTCCATTCACATACGCTTTATTGCCACTGTTGTAAAGGCGCGAGGAGTATCAAAATAATAAAAATTAAAAGATCCGTTAAAGCCTAAGGAAGACCCCATAGATATAGTCGCTAACGAAGATACTTAGCACCTTAGACCGCAATGAGCACCGGGGCTTGGCGTGCTTCCAAGATCACAGGAAAATCATCCATAGTGAAAAACGGAGAATGCTACTGTTAACTTGTATTTCTTTCCGGTGATCGACCCTTCTATATTTCTCATGAATATAAAACCCTAACAACCGGTTTTCATTTATCACCAATAACATCTTTATCTTAATCGATGAAACTTAACACCCTTTCACCTAACAACTGGCTCGTTCACTATTTTTTTTTGATCTAATTTTTTCAACTCGTCTCTAATAAAAATTTATGGTTTTTTCTATCTAATCTCGATGATTAATTTCTTATAATTATTATAATTTTTCTCTTTAATTTCTTAATAAGTCTATTTATGATATTAATCATTATACGACTCTCGTGTTTATATCATCTAATGTTCTAACTTATATTAGGAAATCATAGCAACTATGTCAATAGAATTTTTTTTTTCAACTTATTATAAGAAATTGTATATCGAAATTTACCAATATATCCAATAATATTGAATAACAATGTAAACTTAACTATCGTGTTTGTAAATAAATATTCAAAATTCATCATTAACATCATATAATCTCATAAATGTATTATTTAACAAACATCGTTTATATTCGTTTAAATAACAATTCATTTGTGATGAAAATTAACATCTTAAAAAGATTATCATATACATAATGTTGCTTTTTTTTTTTACTGTAAATAATAATAATTATTATTATTATTATTATGTAAAGATGTGCATACCTTGATAGTTGACTCTGGTAATTGCAACTGCGCCGCCAATTCGCATCTTCGTGGTCTACTGACGTAATTTTCACGATGAAATTCTTTTTCTAAACGAGATAATTGTTCTCTGGTAAAAGCCGTTCTGTACCTTCGAATATTTTGATCCATAGAACTTAATGGTTGTTGGGAATACTGTTGATCACTTGGCGATGTTCCTAAACATAAAATTATGACGATTAATTATTGAACATTTTCAAATATTATTCTAAAATTTCACGTGAAAATAAATTGCTTCTAATTTGTCTATATATTTATTGATTTTGAAAGAAGAATATTAAAATAATCAAAAGAAAAATAATTGAATTTTGATTATAATAGAAAAAGAAAAAAAGAAAAAAACACCACACACCTTTCGTTTCGTAAAAACATTTTTATTATTTTTCCTATTTTTTTTATTATTCCAAACCGGAAAGTTAGAAAATTGTCGATCCTTGTTTTTTTTTTTTTTTTGTTGTTGTTGCACATATAATAAAGTTATAAATTTGTCAAAAGTAATAAAAAAATAAAAATAAAAAAATTGAGAAACAGAAAGTAGGCAATAAACGATGAGATCCTTAAAAATATTTCAAACGTTAGGACAATGAATATACTCAGGTATAAATGTTGAAAGTATTATTATGATCGTTTAGGGTTTCCCTTTATTCTTTTTACAATGTATTGTACATATGTGAACGGGGAAGGTCGAATGTATTCGAAAGAATACGGAAAATTACTTTTTACACAAAAGCACAAACTACTACTATTAGTGTAAAATAATATGAAAGAAAGAAAGAAAAAGAAAAAAACAGAAATATTTTTATTGGCTACGAACTATTCAAATAATAATGTTCAAGCTTTTGGAAAATATTATTAGTTGAGAAAGAGGTTTTTTATTATTACGATTGAAATCAAACAAAACGTGGTGTGACGTTAAATCTTTCAATGGTTTGTCGAATTTATCCATGCCGTCGGATTCCTATTTTCACTTCGAACAAATTCTATCATGAATCATTGTTATAATAAAAATAATCAAAAAATTAGAATAATCTAAACATTACTGTATAATGTTTCTCTTCAAAAAAAAAAAACAAAAAAATACAAAATTGAATTAACACAAGTGTGACTCGGAGAGTTTTAAAACGATTTACCTTTTTCCGGTGTTTTTGGCAAACTTCCTTGTGAACTTGATGGTGACGATGGACTTTTCGATGGACTCTTCGATGGACTGGCAGACGATGAACGTAATGAAACTGTTGGTCTTCTGACTGAATCGACAACGATAACAGTTTCGTCCTCGTCTTGTTCTTGATGTCGATCATCGAAATTAATTGTAAATTTGTGCATTTCACCATCCAATTCTGTCTCTTGCATAAGGGTAGTTTTTTTTTTGTTGTCTTCTTCTTCTAACACTTTGTCACACTTTATTTTCTTTGAATTGTTTGATTATATTTTTTCGACACTTTTCGCGAATCACACAGAGAATAATTGTTTATTGTTTATTGTTTTTTAACAACAATTGTAATACATTTAAAAAAAAACACTGTTATATACTAATTGTCTATGAAGTTTATTTCTTGCATTGATTATTATTATTATTATATCAATTTGAGAAATACCTTAGAAGATATAATTGCACAAAATGAAATAATCAATTGTATATCAATAATCTTATGCCACTTTTGACAATTATTCATTAATCCATGGATCCTGATGATGATGATGATGATGATTATCATATCATTGAATTATTTCAACAATTATCCTAAATCACAGTTTTGAAATTGAAACAATCCAAAATCAAATGTACAATTAATTGTTAACTGACTTTCTGTAACACACGCAAATAGTTCCGTACAACTCGAGATTATTGAATGAAGTGAAGAAGAGACTAAGCAAACTAACAGGATAAAGTTCGAACAGAACTGCTTTGCTTCTGATTGGTCGACACCAAATCCACCTCTCTTATATGACTTCCCCTCTTATTCGGACCAGTTTACCACCACCACGACCATCATCATCCCTCTATCTCATTCTCTGAGATCTTTTCTCCCTTTCTATTTTGCTACTACCACCACCAGCACCAGCATCACCAGCAACATCACCAGCAGCATCAGCACCACTTTTCTTTTTGTTAGGTTATCATTTATACTAAAATGTGATTAACATTTATTGTTAATTTTCTTCTTTTTTGTTTGTTTTTTTTTTTTTTTTTAATTAATAATCTATTGTATTTAATGATATTTGCTAATCACATTAATTATCAGATTAGTTGTAATAAATGTTAATTGTAATATAAATGTTTAATTCTGAAATGAATTAAATGATTTTTATAATTAATGTCACGATTCAATTATTTACTCAAGAGGATAATAATTTTTCTGAGCAATCAAGTTTTATTTAAGTTATATGATTGTAATTAAAATTTTCGTTTGATGAGTATGTAAGAGGGTTGTCATAATTAATTACAATATTATTGGATTTTAATAGTACTTATTAGATATATATCTATATATATATATAGATATATAATTAATATTTTATAATTATTAATATTTCTTTATTTTATTATAATTTATATTTATTATATATTTCATATTTATTATATTTATTAGATATATATATCTAAATATATATTAATATAATATAATATAACATAATATATATACATATATATATTATAGTATTGTAGTATAGTATGTATATATATATGCAATAGGGTTGTAATTATTATTTAAAATATTATAGGATTTTTATAATATTAATAAAAATAATAATAGAAATATATATAGTATATTATTACTATAGTATTAGTAATAGTAATAATAATAATAATAGTTGTAATAATTGTGTCTAGGGGAATGCGTGCAACTTTTTAAAAAAGTAGATCAAAATCATCAAAGTCTCGAGAGAAAAATGTTTCACACCGAAAAAAGAAATTGTTATAGAAAGTTTTATTTTTTTTTTGTTCAACATTTCTAGCAATAAAAAAAAAAACGAAGAATAATAAGAAGAAAACAACCTTAAAAAAAACCTCACCGTCGCCAAAAAAAAAGAAAAAAAAACACGTCTTCTGACTTACCGTGTCTGAATGGTTTCTTTTTTTACTTTTGTTTACTATAATTCAAAAATCAACCGAAACTGGAGCAATTTTTTATGTTGTTGTTGAAATATCGTTCATTTGATATTATCAATGACAACTAAAAGATCTCGTATGATATTTATCTGACAAAAAGAAAAAAAAAAAAAAGAAAAGAAAACCTTAAAAAACTATTCATCTTTTTTTACGAGTCTAGTTTTTTATTCATGCTTTTATTTTTTTTTATCTTCTTCTTTGACGCGTTAGGTTTTTAAGGATTTGTTTCGTCAATATTTACGAGGTTACTGCGGTGACGATTTCTTTGTAAAAAAAAAAAAAAACTAAATCGGAGCATAAAAAAAAAAGAAAAAAGAAATGACTTTGACTAAAATCTGGAGCATTTTTTTGTCCATTCTTCGTGTTTTTTTTTCTTCTTCTTCTCTACCTAAGACCGTAAGTTTCTTTACAGGAAGACAGGGGAGATACAGGGGAAAGGAAATAAAAAACTTAGCACGTATAAAAATGATTGTTCGATGATTTTTTCTTCTTCTTCTTCTTCTTCTTTTTCTTTTTCTTTTTCTTCTTTTTTATATTTATTGTCAAGTTTCGTGACCTTCCGATACTTGGGTAATTTTGGTTTAAACAATAGATCGTTTATTGTTCATTTTATTCTTTTTATCACCGGGATACCTACCTACCATCTACCAAACATCCTACGAAATCTTGTTGACCATTTTTTTCTAACCATTTTTTTAACCATTATCAATTTTCTTTTTTTTACCAATGTCCATTATTATCTGTAAAAGAAAGTTTCCTTAAACACCAAACTAAGATAGGCTCTCTCTCTCTCTCTCTCTCTCTCGTAACTCAATGAGGATTCTTTTTAATAGTCTTTTTTATATTTTTTACTTTTATGGTTTTTTTTTGCCCGCATTCTCTTTTCATCCCCTTAACGGTAGATTATTATACACGTGAGAGAGAAAAAAGATTATGGGGGGAGGAGGGGGGGGGGAGAGGCGAAAAAAAACACTCACATAAAAAAGGAAAAAAAAAAAACAAGTCGAAAGAAATGCTGAAGGACGTTTAATTCCACCATGCAAAATTTCTTTGTCATTGATTGAAGAAAGAGAGGTTATAAAAAAGTAGAAGAAGAAGAAGAAGAGGAAGAAGAGAAAGAGGAAGAGGAAGAGGAAGATAAAAAAATACTTTCACTTCATGCTTGAAAATCATTTTTTTTTTCTTCTTTCTTTCTTTCTTTCTTTCTTTTTTTTTTTGCTATTCCTTTCTCCGAACAATTTTTTTTCTTTCTGTTTCCTCACTTTCCTTTTCCAATTGATTTCTATATCTTTTTCTCGACAAATAATATTTTCCAAAAGAGTTTTGATTATCCACTCGAGTAGTAATAGTAGTAGTTAATCTAACTTAACTTCGTGATGTTACATCTACCCCTTTCATTTTACGGGAGGGTGGGTGGGTGGGAGACACACGTCATCTTAGAATGTAAAAAAAGAAAAAGGGGGGGTGTTTGTGAATTTTTTATGCAGCCGGTCATGGTTGTCTGTGGCCACTCTTTCCGAGAGTGCCAAAAAAAAGGGTGATTTGCGGTTGCCCTCATTGGCAAAAAATTGGTTCATCTCAAACAAACAAACAAATAGAGATGTTTGTATCTAAAGAATGAACAGAAGAAAATTTTCATTTGTAGTATTACTAGTATTACTGTATAAATGTTGGTAAAAATCGGCTGAATGGTTTGGACGCAGCAGCGAGGGCAACCGATTTAAGGGGGACACGTCACCTTAGATTGTAAAAAAAAAAGCAAAACAAAAATTCCAATTTTGTTTTTTTATTTTACATGTATCACCAGCCTTATCACTATTTATTACAGTTTCATAAGAAACAAAAAAAATGCGCAAATCTTAACGAAAATTGGATAAAATATTTTCGGAAATAATAATCGATTTTTTCGTTTGACGTGTCCCCTTTACTGACTAATATTTTTTTTTATTTATACACTATGACTAATATTTATCATTTCAATAGTTATATTCCTATAATAATATTGAATATTTATATTTTAAATAATAAATGGTATTAATGGACATATTCAAATATAATTAATTTCTTTTTTCCTTTCATTATAATCACATTAACGTTATCAGATCTTAATTAGAATATAATCGATTAGTAATTATTGACAGACCAGATATAAAAAGTGAAATATAATAGGGAAATGATGAAAAATAAAATATACAAAAAAGAAATCTAACACCCAAATTTATATATATATGAGGTATTTTTTTTTTAACGATACATTTCACAGATCTTTTATCGATAGGAAAACAATAACAACGTAAATCGAATTATCAAATGAAACAATCTTTATTATCATTGTGTCAGGAAGTCGAATGTGTTATATCGTATCGCAATAAAATCAACCTGTGTATGTATGTGTTTCTATGTATGTGTATGTGTGTATGGACTTGAAAACGATTAATACGATTTGAAGGAGAGCAGGTAGAATAGATAATTGACGTGAACGGGCCAATCCAGATGTGGTCGCAATCATGCCGCTGATTAAACGCTTTGATTAACCGTCTAATTTAACTTGTGTGTACGATGTAACGTATCTTTACCTGAAAATCTATACAGTTCGATACCTGTTAACGTACTCTAAAGTATATATATATATATATATGTATATACGTATACGAACATATATATATATATTCACCTGCCAGTATATAACAGAGTCCATAACGCGTACCAATTGTACCCCATACCCTCTGACACCTACCCCCTATACTCCTCACCATACGAAACGATACATTTCAAACGTTCGAATTCAATTCAAAGGTGTAATGTAGGATTTTCACGAAAAAAAAAAACTCTATCGTTAAATGTCTTTCAAAACCTTTTTGTTGGTTTTCTTTTTTTTTGTTTTTTTTTTTGGAAATAGGCTTTTCAAGTGAATACAAAAGTTCTTTATTTAATTAATTCAAATTTAGTACAATTAATTTTAATATTAATTTATATCATCAATAATTATTATCAACGTGTGTGTATAACAGAGTTTATTAATAAAAGATAATGTAATATAATATGCGAATTATTATAATATAATTGAACTAATGAAAGATCTAATAATATATTCAATAAGAATTATTTTATCTTATCTATTATTGTATATCAACTAATTTATACATTATTTTGAAAAATTACCATTGACTAGTCCTATAATAGTTTTGAAATATTAAGTATGATGATTATACTAGTCAATAAAAATAAACACATTAGT